CCTCCTCCCTCCCCCATCCTTCCCACCTGTTCCCTCCTTCCTCCCACTCGTTCCTCCCTCCTTCATACCCCTCCTACCTCCCTCCTTCCTACTCCTCTTCCCGCCCTCCTTCCTACCCCTCCTCCCTCCCTTCTCTCTGTTCTTGTAGAATGTAGGTAGTTTAAATGTAGATTTTAGAATGTAGACATTGTAGAATGTAGGTTTTGTAATAGAATAACTTTAGCCTATTTTAGGTGTTTTGAATAGAATAGGAAATTTTAGGTCTTTTGATTAGACATTTTAGTAATGGAAATTTTTAGTTGGTAGAATTTGAAAAAATGTTCTGTACTTGTTATATTCTGAACTTAGGGCATATTTTAGGGTTTAGTAAAAGAAATAGTAATAGTGGATGATGATGTAGATGTTTTAGGTATAGAACATTTTGAATAGATGATGATGTAGATTTTTTTAGTAGAACTAGTTTATTTAGTGTTGCTCAAGAATTGCTCATATGATGTAGATATAAACATGTATATCTAGTGTTGCTCAAATAGGATATGTGCTTGCCCAAGTGACCATGTTTGCAGGTAACACCTTCGAGTGGCCTATGTTATGCCGGCGTGTTGATTAATTTCCGTTCCGGCAAATTTCAGGCGCTCGATATGTCCTTTTTTAGTAAAGGTCATGCTGGATTTTTCCTCTGAAGTGGATCGTTAATCCTTTTCTAATATTGCTTTAGGAAAATGTAGCCACCATCTGTTGGGAAACGAAGCATGCAATTTCCAAAAATTTCCTACGATCACGCAAGATCTATCTAGGAGATGCATAGCAACGAGAGGGGGAGAGTGTGTCCACATACCCTCGTAGTGGAAGCGTTAGTTAATGCGGTTGATGTAGTAGAATGTCTTCACGATCCAACCGATCCAAGTACCGAACGTACGACACCTCCGTGTTCAGCACACGTTCAGCTCGATGACGTCCCTCGAACTCTTGATCCAATCGAGGGTCGAGAGAGAGTTCCGTCAGCACGATGGCGTGGTGACGGTGTCGATGATGTGATCCGCGCAGGGCTTCACCTAAGCACTACGATGCTATGACCGGAGAAGTAAACTGTGGGGGGTGGCGGGAGGCGCCGCACACGACAAAGAGAACAATTGATGTGCCTTTGGGGTGCCCCCTGCCCACGTATATAGAGGGGAGAGAGGCCGGCGGCCAGGAGGGGCGCGCCATGGGGGGAGTCCTTCTTGGACTCCTAGTCCAAGTAGGATTCGACCCCCCTCTACCTTTTTTTCACTGGGGGGAATAGGAAGGAGAGGGAGAGGGAAAGGGAAGGAGGCGCCGCCCCCTCCTCCTTGTCCTATTCGGACTCCCTAGAAGGAGGGCGCACGGCCACCCCCCGCGGGCTTCCCTCTCTCTCTCCCTTATGGCCATGTTGGCCCAACACTTCCCCGGAGGGTTCCGGTAACCCCTCGGTACTCTGAAAAATGTCTGAACCTCTCTGAAACTTTTCTGGTGTCCAAACATAACCTTCCAATATATCAATCTTTACCTCTCGACCATTTCGAGACTCCTCATCATGTCCGTGATCTCATCAGCGACTCCCAACAAACTTTGGTCATCAAAAACACATAACTCATAATACAAATCATCATCGAACGTTAAGCGTGCGGAACCTACGGGTTTGAGAACTATGTAGACATGATCGAGACACATCTCCGATCAATAATCAATAGCGGAACCTAGATGCTCATATTGGCTCCTACATATTCTACGAAGATCTTTATCGGTCAAACCGCACAACAACGTACGTTGTTCCCTATGTCATCGGTATGTTACTTGCCAGAGATTCCATCGTCGGTATCATCATACCTAATTCAATATCATTATCGGCAAGTCTCTTTACTCGTTCCGTATTGCTATATCCCGCAACTAACTCATTAGCCACATTGCTTGCAAGCCTTATAGTGCTGAGCATTATCGAGAGGGCCCGGAGATACCTCTCCGATACACGGAGTGACAAATGCTAATCTCGATCTATGCCGACCCAAAAAACACCTTTGGAGACACCTATAGAGCATCTTTATAATCACCCAGTTACGTTGTGACGTTTGATAGCACACAAGGTGTTCCTCCGATATTCGGGAGTTGCATAATCTCATAGACAGAGGAACATGTATAAGTCATGAAGAAAGCAATAGCAATAAAACTTAACAATCATTATGCTAAGCTAACGAATGGGTCTTGTCCATCACATCATTCTCTAATGATGTGATCCCGTTCATCAAACGGCAACATATGTCTATGGTCAGGAAACATAACCATCTTTGATTAACGAGCTAGTCAAGTAGAGGCATACTAGGGACACTTTGTTTTGTCTATGTTTTCACTCATGTACTAAGTTTCGTGTTAATACAATTCTAGCATGAATAATAAACATTTCTCATGATATAAGGAAATGTAAATAAAAACTTTATTATTGCCTCTAGGGCATATTTCATTCAGTCTCCCACTTGCACTAGAATCTATAATCTAGATTACATAGTAATGATTCTAACACCCATGGAGTCTTGGTGCTGATCATGTCTTGCTCGTGGAAGAGGCTTAATCAATGGGTCTACAACATTCAGATCCGTATGTATCTTGCAAATCTCTATGTCTCCCTCCTTGACTTGATCGCAAATGGAATTGAAGCGTCTCTTGATGTGTTTGGTTCTCTTGTGAAATTTGGATTCCTTTGCCAAGGCAATTGCTCTAGTATTATCACAAAAGATTTTCATCGGACCCTATGCACTAGGTATTACACCTAGATCG